GTAAAATTTAACCTTGATTCGCTACCTTAGGCTCTGGACACGGAACCAAAAGAAATACAAATTTCAGATTCGAGACCAAAATAGCTCTAAAAGGTGGAGTTAACAATATCTCTTTGCTAAGCAGTATGGTTGGTCTACCGGTAACTAATCCCACCTTACGTCCTTTATCATCCTTTATAAAGCCTTTCCACTTGTTATTAATATTTTTTTTACCATAATTGTGTTTTGTTGCAACTCCTAATCAATTATTTTGATTTTATTTAATTTTTTAACCGGAAACTCTAGGATTCGGGAGCATTTATGGAGCGCAGTGCTGCAGGAGTGGAAACTGTCAGCATCCATAATGATCGAGCTTTAGAGAAGAACTTGATGACTAACAATCAGTGGGGATACCAGGTGGTTAAAATTAAATAAATATCAAATTAAGGATTTCAACTAATGGCAAAAATATTTGTCGAGTTAAGATTTAGATTAGGAGAAAATAAAAGTTCTTTCTTTCTTCCTATATTATAATATTTTATTTCTTTATTCTTTTTTTCGAAAAAAAAGGTAGGACTACTGGGAGAGAGGTTGCAGATTTACACAGAGAAAGGATCAATTCAAGCACAATGGAGAAAATTCAACCCTTCTTCTAAGACACTAAAATGGTATAAGGTAAAGATAAAAGTATGAAATAAACATTTTCCTATTTATCTATCCTTTACGCGATTTTCTTAAGCTGTGATACACATCTACTGCTCCACATTCTGCTACAAACTGAAGTAACAAAGTCTATGATCTTTCAAACAATATTACCTTATAACCGAGAAGACTGATTTTTTACTTTTTATTTTTATTTTTATTTTCCTTTTGGTTGCCTCTTAACAGACTACATTTGATGCACTCGAGGGCTCTAATCCTGTTGCACTAAATCTCGGCACCATGGGAAAAGGTGAAGCTTGGATTAACGGTCAGAGTATTGGCCGGTATTGGATATCCTTTCTTACGCCAGCTGGCACTCCTTCACAAATATGGTAAAATCATCACTTTATATGTACTACTTAGAAAATTAAACTTTAAGATGTATCATATATTTATCGATGAATTTTTGTCTTGAGTGAATATTTGAAGATTAAGGCTGTACCAAAACTTTCAATTCGTTTCACTAGATAAACTGTTTTGTGAAAATTTTTCGAAAAAAAACCGCATCCGTTTTTGAATCACCAATCATTTCTCTCTCAAAAAAAAAAAGGAAAAAGAAAAATATATTTCCAACATTTTCCGATGACATCAGATTCAGACCAATCTCAAACATTTTTCTACCGTTTTCAAAACAGACCACTATTTTCTTGCAGGAAAACAAAAAATAAAAATAAAAACAAAAATCGATGGATATCCATCACATCCTTAACCGAATCATATAACATACATTGTCTATGAATAGCGTGTCCTCAAATCAAGTTCCTATCTATCCCCATTGTTGTTCCAGTATATTTCCAGTACTAGTTTAGTAATCTAAGGCACCATAGATAGCTTCTTTTTGAATTTCTAACTTAATCCTCCTATTATTTCAGGTATCATCTACCAAGATCCTTCCTCAGACCTACAGGCAATCTCTTAGTATTGTTTGAAGAAGAAATAGGCAATCCTCTAGGCATAACAGTCGATACAGTTTCTGTTACTAAATCACGCAAACAGTTTCTGATTGAAGCTCAATGACAATGAATATGATGGTGGCCAAAGTATCTTCTGGACTAACATATACTATCCAAATTAGTCATTAATTTGTGATAGACAGAATAAATAGACATTGCATTTTTCAACTAAATGTCAGGTTCTGTAGTCATTGCTGAAGATAAGATAAATGTCACCTTCTTTCTACTGAATGTCCCCTTCTTTGTACTGTTTGTGCTGTAATGTTTTTAGCCATTGTATTGACTGAAGACTATATGATGAAGCTATGATAAATTTTTGCTCAAAATAATCAGAAATAAATTGAAATCAATTAGACTATATTTTGGCAACCTCAACAAAACAGTGATCGGTAAAAATAAGCATTCAATTGCATGCCGATCCTTCAACACTTACTTCTCAAATGAATTTTGATGTTTAGTCACAAATAACTAGCAGAGGATTAGGCAGCTGTCTATTATACTAGATTAAATCCTTCTCAATTGCACTCAAGGAAATTTTCTCTGGTCACCAAATTTTAAATTACTCCATTCAGCATACATAAAAAAAAAATAAAAATAAAAATAAAAAAATCCAGGAACCTTGTAGGTGCAAATGCCTTAGTCTCCATTTAACAGCCATTTTTCCTTTTCTTTCTGGAATATTTCTTTGTTTCTTCTTGGGTTGCTTGAATATCCATTTGAACCTTAACAGAGCTTCTCACATTAGTACTCTGGAAGCTTGAAGGCAAAAGGGCTTTTTGAGAAGGCAGCTCGGAAATGAAAAGCAGAGTCTGAGCCCAACCAGCAAACTTTCCATATTTTGTCACAAAAGCATCAGCCACACGAATGCAAGTTTTACTTGTCAGGCGAGTGCCCGCCAGCTCAGGGATGAGATACCTTGTTGCAATCTTTCACACATTGAGAAGAAAAAAATGCATATCAGCAAATTAATTTTATTTGTTTCATTTTTGTATAAAAAACATTGACTTGAGCACTTTTTTAATAGCATAAACGATATATCAACATGTATACTTGAATAGGTTACAAAAGCAAAATGTGTAATATTATTTTAAGCTAATTCACTATAAGCACTAGATGCAGCGATTTATGATCTAACAGAAAAATGCATGACATAACAGCAAAAGCAAGATAGAAAAAGGAAAAAAGATAAAATCATTGTCATTCTTTATCGAGTTGGATTGTCCATTGCAAATGGAGCTGGAAGAGTCATTGTTGACAATTCTCCTGGCATAGTGCTAATAATGGACTAGATCAAAATGGCTCAATTAAATTCTAGTGCTTCTTCTATTAGTGAAATTTCTAGAAAAAAAAATATCAAACGACGCAATGCACCTTGGGTCGCTACGGAAACAGCCTCCTTGTATAATTACAAGGGTAAGGTCTGCGTAAAACTGACCCCCCAGACCCCAACCTGTTGGGAATATACTGGGTATGTTGTTGTTGTTGTTGTATTCTTTATCAAGTTGGGATTACGCTCATTGATGCTTAAGTCACGGGATGAAGGGAAAGATCTTGATATGAAAAAATCCAAGACAAGGCAAACGTCTCTTGGGAGTAGATTCAGAGCTAAAATTATAACTACACATCTGAAATAAACTATTATAGTCCGAAACAATGGTAATCTATCATTGTTGGATCACGTAGAAATTTTTTTTAAAAAAAAAAGAAATAAATAAGGCGAGTTGGAAAAACAGCAGATGCAACCAAAGCAAACAGATACCTCACAAAGTTTGAGCAATCAACTGCGGAAGTATGAATACTCATGTCCATTGAAGAGAAATAAAAAAAACCATAATTATTGCACAAACACAGTTTTCTACAAAATAAAGAAAGATAAAGCATGCTTACACTAGTGACTTGATGAGAACTTAAAATAACCGAACCTTCCACACGTGAGTGTCCACCGGAATAGCATGATGTTGATCTAAAGAGAAAAGAGCAATGCATGCAGCCACTTTGGGGCCCACACCAGGTAAACTAGAGAGACCTTCTATAGCCTCTTGAAGATCTAACTTACGAAGAGAAGCAAGCCACTCTACACCTCTCACAGGTTTTGATTGCAAAGCTGACACAGTGCCAACAATATATTTAGCCCTGTTCAATTTCAAGACAAATATTACAAAAGATTATAATGTAGCCAACCATTATCCACTATTCCACTTCAGCTATTAATTTGCAACTTTTTTCAAGAGCAAACTCCTGTTTCAGCTCCTAACCTCTAAATTAATGAACACTCAGCGCTAATTTTCTTAATCCATAATCTTCGAAGCTAATATAAACCATTGAGGGATAGATACCTTCCTTCAAGTTACAGACCAAGTCAAGGTGAAGACGAAAAAGCTCTGTCATCCTAAGGAAAAATGCATTCTTGGCTTTACACATACAAAATTCAAACAAAATCATAACAATAGAAAACTACTAATCTGCTGATAAATGCAAGAATGTAATTCGACCTGTATCCGAACCCGGCCTCCCTAAGCTCAGCCTCCGAAACCAATGCCAATCTATCCAAGCTCGGAAACTCGAAAAAATCATAACCTTCCACGTTCCCCAAGAATTTCCCCTTGGACGAAATAAAATCCACCATTTTCGTAATCCGCTGTATGTTATTATTGGAGGAGCAGATAAATTGAATCAAGCACTCCAATGGGTCCTGCCTCAGAACCCTAGCGCCCTCCAAATACTGAGCCAGCTCAGAAAACCTCTCATCGGAGGCCTTGAACTCTTCCCAAATCTTATTTAACGAAATGCCCATGTTCAGAAAATCAAAAAGCTCGGTTCTTGCTGCATCTTCATCGTCCGTAAAGTGACAGAAGTATCCAACGCCGTCGTCCTCGAGCTGCTTGAGGGAGACGAGGTGTGGGCCGATGGGGCCGGTGTATTGCGAAGGGCCGGTTTTTTTCCACCGGAAGGTTTGGCCGGTGGGGAAAGTGAGCGGAAGGTACAACTCGGACTTGCTGATGTTGAGGGGTTTCCATTTGATATCGGCGGCGGCGGCGGCGGCGGCAGCGGAGGGGAGCGGTTGGGGATTTTGCAGAATGTTTCTGGGTTTTCTGGAAAGGCGCTTTTTGTGGATTGTGTTGAAGGATTGACGCAATTGGGGCGTTGGAGGGGTTGACGGAGGTTGGGGTAAGGGCGAATTTGCTCTTTTCATCCTCAGAACTGATCTCGGCGGCTGCATGTAGAATAGGAGGGCCTTGAAGTCTGGTTCTATGCAGTCGCCGGAGGAGAAGGTGATTTTTTTTCTTTTTAATTATTGGTTTATGCAAAACTAAAAGCCATTTTTTTCAAGTAAATAATAATATTTTCGAAAGCATTTGAAATTTTACAAATTCTTTCATGAAGCGGTCCAATCGTCATACTATTCGAACAATTCAAGAGCAATATAAATTTCACAAATTCTTGTATGAGACAGTCTAACCATTATGCAATCATTATGCAGATCAACTATCATACTATTAATCGAACAATCCGAGAGCATTTTGAATTTTACAAATTCTTGCATTAGGCAGTCTAACCGCAATGCAAATCGACTCATCATGCCAAAAATGCATACTATACTATTACTTGTCATACTTTTGCAGAATTTTTTAAAGTATGACATAATCTAATAAATCATGAGTAATGCTATAGGTACATAATAATCTACATAAAGGTATACATAACACTCACATAAAAATAAAAAATTAAGTGAACTTCACTCCATGTGAGTGTTATTTACACCTCTATATATATTATTATGTACTTGTAGCATTTTTCATAAATCATACATATTTGTTAAAAAAATATATTTCAACCGACCTAACACAAGATGAACCGTTTCCCATCCAAGATATTTAACATCATGTTTGGACTTGGGATATTTTTGGCATAATACACATTGAGAACTCTCCATTGGACCTCAATGTCAACAGTCATTATTCCCTCACAAATATTTAACCACCCCAAAATTGATTCATACACACATTAATTTCTTAATAATACTTAGAGGAAAAGGAAAAAACAAAACCCTAATGGGGCAATGGTATATTAGCAAGATCCTCTCTAAAGGGTAAACTTTGCAACTCAACTCCACCTCCAACAATACCACTCTCCATTCGAGTTTCGACATTCGAGTCGAGCTTTGTTGGGTCGATAAACGTGACAACTTTGTCTTTACGAAACATTAGATAAATCACAGACAACACGTAGATCGCCATAAGCGGGAATACTGCAATCCCTATCAACACATTCCCGAGTTTCGATAAGCTGTTATGTAACATCCAATCCACGAATCCCGTGCTCAAATAGTATATGTTGATTCCAATTATTCCGAGCCCGAGTATCCATGAGACCACAATAATCTTTGCACGAAAACGAATAAATAAAAATTTGTCATGTGAAGAATAAAATAAAATAAAATAAAAATTCAAGATTGTACGACTCACATATATTGAGTTCTTGTGGGGACCCATCTTGGTGGAGGTGCTGCTGAATTTAAGAAGTGGGATGAGAGCAAATGGGAGCTCAAAAGATAGGATCATCTGGAAAAAAATAAAAAAAAAATAAAATTAAAATAAATAAGTTACTTAGAAAAAGTGTTTTCATCTCATCATTTTATACAAATTTTGAAGTACTCAAGTGAACATTCATTTTAATGTAAATATAAATTTGATTAAAAATAAATATACAAACCGATGCAATGATGATTAATCGACCGGCCCCTGAAGATCCACCGATTACTGAAACTATTAGACTCGGTGTTATGGCAATGCATCTTGTCATCAAGTTTCTAAGCCATTTTCTCATCTTGAGATCCAAGAATCCCTATATATATGCTCAAAATGTATGTATATGTATTCAAGTTATAAATTTGAGTAAGTATATAATCAATCAATAGTGTTATTTGTTAATTAATCATTTAATTCATTGAATAATTACCTGCATGATAAATTGTCCTGCGTAAGTGCCAGTAATTGTTGAGCTCTGGCCTGAGGCTAATAATGCAATGGCATAAATAGTAGAACTTGAGCTCCCCAAAACATTCTGTCATCATCACATAAATAAACTTTAAAATATATGATTAAATTGATATTTAAAAAAAAAAAAAATCAACTGTCAAAATTCCTACCATTTTACAAATTAAATGAACATTTTATTAGTTATTTCAAAAAAAAATCACCACAAACCTTGAGGAGAAAAGAGGCTGAATTTAGTGTCATATCATCACAACTATTTTTCACAGCTTTTGAAAGGCTATTAGCTGAGCAAACTGTACCAGACACCGAAATAACTGCAACATTGATGAGAAAAGCCACAAACAGTGCAAATCCACTCTCCATTAAGAAGTATCTACAAGCTTCCTGAAATATTTTGAATTCAATCAAAATTCAATAATATAATTAATGAGTTTTCAAACTCTCTTTGCAGCCATGGTTTCACCTATTTTATCATTAATATTCATTAGAATTCATATTAGGACATTTTGTGTTGCATACTTATTATTATATATGTATCCTAATCATCTTTTTGTGAGCTAACACAACCTTGGTCAATCCAAAGTCAAATTCAATCAAGTTGCTCGTATTATCGTTATAGGAATTGAACAACAACAAACATCAAATTCTTGAGGCCGTGCATTTTACGTGCAAATTACATACATTTTACAAGACGTACACTTTACAATTATCGAATAAATTTTGATTTTGTATGTACTCTGAACCAAATTCACCCTTTTGTAACCTAACCCAAATTTGTCAATCCAAAGTCAAATTCGATCAAGTTGCTTGTTTATATCATTATAGCAAGTGAACAAAAACAAACATCAAATTGTTGAGGCCGTGCATGTTACATACATTTTACAAGACGTGCACTTTACAAGTATCGAATAAATTTTGATTTGTATGTATACTCACATTAATTCCTCGAATTGAATTCGGTATCTTTCTGGATAGCACTAGAGCAGAGTGAAGAAAAAGATTATGCCTGTACAATAAATAAATAAATAAATAATAGTTTACATATCTCCATATATCAATCAAAGTTATTGTTTCTATTGAAAAAAAAAATTGAAAAATATAGACATACGGCATAACAAGGGCACCAATAAGTGCAATAGCATCACCAGTTGCACTTTGACCATTTAGCTTAGGAATAAACATTCCTTTAATCACTTTCTCAGCTGGAGGCTTTACGTAGCTTAATTCCCCGAAAAAACAACCCGCCATTACGAATACTAATATCGCTATTAGCATTTCCAATTTTCTCACCTAATTTCCAAATATTTTAAAATAAAATTAGTGAAATTATATGTTAAAAAATTAAGTAAAAAATAGGTAAATGAAGTAACAATATTTAGTAAAAAAATGCAGTAGGAAACTAGGAATGAACCAATTATTAGGCTTAAATATATGCAAGTATGTGCATATGTTATGTCATGTGTTTGGAATTTCTCCTTACAAAATTATTTTCATTATTTTTTTAAGGCTAAGAATGACATCCAATTGAACCAACTACAGACTTTTTGCAGAAAATACCAAAAAGTGCTCACCTAATAATTGAAAATTGGAGCGGTTGAGTTAAAAGATCCTATTTTTACTAAAGCCAAATTAAATGGATAAGATAAAGTGAATACCCACACATATGTAACTTTTTGTAAGTTATAAATTACATATGCAGAGGCACACACACATATAATGGCTAGCCAGCACTCAATAATAGACACCAAATCTTGAAAAAAATCATGTTAAAAGAGAGAATATTTGTTTAAACCACCAATAATGGTTCAGAATTCTCAAAATATCTTTTCAATAAATTCTTCAATTAAGAACCATCGCTCATGCTGATTGCCAGATATGACCATATATATATATTCTCATTTTTTTTCTGTCTCTTCTTTTCTTTATTTAAAATAGATCATTTTATATATAGTGGCTTTATTTGGTACTCAACAAGGATTTAGAGTGAAAGTTAGTCTAATTGTTGCGTTGATTTTATAAAACACCTTGTAGCTGCAAAAAACTTGATTTTTGGT